GGGCATGGGCAATGCCCGAATGGCCCCATCCGGCGACACTCCGGGGCACAGCCCTGGCACAGGTGGTTGGCCGGTATACCAGGAGAGGTCACGAGGACCGGCCAGCCAGGCGTCCTCGCCACGCAGGTTGACCATCCATTCTTCCCAGTTGCTGCGCGAAGCTCCAGTCTTGCCTGGGTAGTCGAAGACCCGTGGTGGCAACGTCGGAATGTCCTGGTGCGTTGTGGCCAACGTTGCTTTGGGTCTTGAAGCCACAATCAGCCCACGGACTGCTTCCGTGGCGCTGCGGCGGCTAAGCCTCTGCAAAGTCCGCTGCCCCAATCGCAACATGCTTGGCACTTTATGTCAAAGCTGTTCCCGAGTTCACTTCCACTTCCCAAGTTTGAGCCTCTGAAACTCGGAAAAAATACAACGTGTAGCTTTCCCTTCCAAGCACACACTATCAAGCTGCTCGCAAAGACGGGGACCAGGAAGGAATGTGGTGGCTCCGGCTTACCCTTAAGGCACCCACCGAGCTGGAGCCTACCGACATTGAGAGGCTGAGCGGCGGGACCTTCGCAGGACGGGTGACGTCATTGCCGGGTCAGGGACCAAGGATTCTTGAAGCCAAGTGCAAGAGCCTTCCGGAATCTTTCGTGAACCTATCGGGCTTTGCCTTGCAAGATGCTTAAACTCTGCTTTCGGTCACGTGATCATCTGAGGTCGGGTCCACAGAGGTGGACAGGCCGTGGTCCTGGTGGTGCGGGCTGCCCGGCGTTGAGCGAACCTTCGAGCAGTTAGAGGGGGAATGGGCGGAGGATAAGGCTCAAATCGCACGTGGGGCGTGGCTCCTCCGAAGTAGGATTCTTCTTAAGGCTTGTCTTGATCATGGGACTTAAATTTGGCGATCGATCCAAAATGGGATCTGAGTTTAGATAGCCATCTCATTTCCAGACTGCAAGTGTTCCCTTGCGAATCGACCCAGTTCACAGCAGTATCCCGACACTGGAGAAGTGCAAACGTGGCCCCATAGCCACAACAGGCCTCGACCGCGGAGTATCCGCCGTTCCTGCGACTGCCAAACGTACCCCACGACGTGTCCCAGCCGCTTCCGTAGGCTCCATCACGAGTGCACCATTGATTGTCCACGTATTCTGCACAGGTGTGGCGATTTGAATCCACCCAGTTCTCAATTGTATCGTTGCATGAAGCAGCACCACATCCGCAGCAAGCTTGTGCCGCATCTACAAATCCATTGATGGGAAACATAGATATCACCGCTATTCTCGACAGCGTCGGTCCAACCAGATAGCAAGTCTGTGCAGTCAATGAATTCACGAGAGCCACTGAACCACAGCCACAACAAGCCTCGAGAGCACAAAGCAGTGTCCCAGCCGACTCCGTAGTGGCCCGTGGGGGGCACCAGCTGTTTCTGACATAGTCTGCGCAGGCAGCTAAGTCCACCCAACCTGCACGCAAATTATATCGCGAGGCCACTTGGTTACTTCATCACCTAGCTCCCCCTGCAACATCACTTTTCGTCCCACCTATCCCATGTTGAATCCCTACCCGGCCTGGAGATATCTCACTGCAACTAGGCTCGCTCGCATGCGCACCACAGCCACAACGGCTTGAAACGCCGCCTAGTTTGCGTTGCGGGAGCTGGCAAAGCTCTTGTGCCTCTTCCCCTGATTGAAATTCCACCCTGAACCACACTTGCCAGTGCTGGTGCACCAATTATTGTTGACGTAGTGCTGGCATGTTCTCCCTTCGGAATCTGCCCACAAAGGTACGGCGTCCTGACAGGCTTGGGCCGCCTGAGCGAGCAGAATGACCAACTAACAATGAAGGTGGCGACAGGCCACAGCCTCTGTCGATACCTTCATTGTTGGTTGGCCTCAACCCCGACGGATCCCGGATGCCATGGCATTGTGAGGAGAAATGGCTCATCTGCTGTGGCAAATGGAGTCAGCTTCCAGTGACAAGAGATGAACTCTGTGTATGGGGGCGATCACGTCAGAACTTTCCTGGATGAGACCTACATACTGGGCCGTTGACCTGCATGCAGCGAAAACGGGCATGCGGGCTGAACCTTGAAAACAAGTCTCTTGCTTCGATGGGTGAGATGCTGGCACCGAAGCTGCAGCCGGTGCTGTGGATCGAAATCGGCACGTCTTTTGTCGGATAAGCGATTCCTCTCAACAAGCTCCGCTAACTTGCACTGGGTCTCTCCGATTTTCGGTGACAGCGCAGTCTCGTTAACTTCAGACTCTTACCTTCCAAGTCCGGCTGAGTTGGGCCACTCTCGGGAAACCGTCTGAAAGGGAGTCGCAGGCATGGCCCGCGGGCGCCCGCGGGCCACTGATTTGTACAGAGTCCGGCGATCAAAGGCGGGAATTCGCTCTGAAAACACCGGTGTCCTTCGGCAACCTGCGGCCCGACGTTTCCGGGCTGCAGGCATTGATAAAAACGTTAACTGTGGTCAGAAGTCGATAATGCCGGCCCTGAAGCACTGAACCCGCTGGACGGCTGTCATGAAACAAGTTCAAGCCCGTTGTCAACCACTCAGATCCCTGCAGATCCTTTGCTTCAGAAAACTGTGCCTCCAAGCAGGCTAAACAGATGAAGGGTCACTCCAAGCTCGTGTTAGTGAGAGGTCGCTGAATTCCACCGCTCTGTGAGGCCTCGTCCTTCTTGCTCCCTTTATCCTTCTTTTTCTTCTTCTTGTGCTTGTCATTTGCGCCGGCATCCTGCTTCGTTCTATCCTATGAGGAACCGACATCGAAGAGGACGCATGCCGACGAGTTGCGTACGGATTGACCTCGTCATCCATGAAGGGGTCTGTGCTCTTGCTCTTCCTTCTCTTCTTATGCCTCATGAACCGAGCCACTTGGCTGCCTTGTACAGTGCTCCGTCTTTGTCTACAGCTGGCTGCGGGGCTTCTTCTCGTCTCCCCCGCCCTTCTCCTGACCAGGCCATCACGAAGCGCAAACGGAACCGAGACAAGGAGCTTCCACCTTCTTCTCCTTCTTCCTCGCTTTCTTCTCAGCTTTCTCTCGCTGGAAGTACTCCATGCCTGCCAGAGAGCACGTTTCGGAAAAAAGACAAAAAGGTCAGAGAGGCCACCGAGGCTCCCACTCTCATACTCCTTCCCGAAGATGCTCGCCGCCAGAGTGTTGTCTTCCTGCTCCTCGCCTTCTTCTGATGCCAGGTCCTGTTCTGGAAGTCTTCACGCTACAAAGTGGTCAGTGCTTCGCTGTGGACCCTGGCACACGTAGCAGGCCGCCTGTTGAACGAATTCGCGCTAACAGTGTCAGTGCATAGAAAAAATTGCATGGCAGCTGTTAGCGAGTCTTGTTGGCAGTATTCCCTATTGTCAGTCGAGAGATACCCGACACATGTCGCGTCGCTGGTCCTGCGCATAACGCACACGACGACCGCGAGGCGACAGAGACTGCGAAAAACGAGAATCAGGACGTGCGGCGCTGCTATCTGCAGCAGCGAGATCACGCCTGCAAGGTAGATATGCTAATCTTCGACGCCCGTCACAATGCCGAGTTACTTGCTAGTTTGCGTGACGTTAGTCAGCATCACAGTAAACTGGTTTCGGTAGGAACAGAACCCCTCATGATGTCGTCCAGCGAAGCACAGCTAAGGGCCTCTGAAAGGGACCCTAAGTTCAAGAATCACACCTTGGAGCTTCAGAAAAGAATGGATCCTAAGGTCCTAAGGAATAGGATCCCTATCTCGGGGGCTCCTTCTTTACGGACCACCCCCAAACCCTACATGGACATCCTAAGTTGAGGAGACGCCCCGACCCCCATTCTGAGTCCGTCGAAGCTCGACTTTCCGAGCTATCACTGAGCCTCGGCAGCAGTTTCCACGGAACTCTGCCAGGGCTGCAGGATTGGGGCGGACCCTTTCTTAGGGCTTCAAGGCTTGGGGCTTCTTTGTGGGTGGGGTGCAGATGGTGCAGGGTTTTGGCTTTGAGGTGTCGTTAGAGTCATGAGAGTGATAGATAGACTGAAGGCAAGGTTGGGACATGATTGTCTAGGTGACCTACTCGACTCTGTGTCTATCAAGCGTGGCAAGTAGCACTTCATGCCGGACTGCACGATGGGGGCCCTGGCCCCTGCTCATTGAAGTTGGCAGTCAAGTCCATCAGCTTGAAGGCAGACTGGTATGCTGGATGGACCTCCGTGCTCGTTCAACAAAGTGAGATCTCCAGAGCCTCCCTACAGTACGGTGGGTTCCATTCTGATGACACACGCCCACTTTCCATAAACCTTCTCGGTTCACGTCCTGTTGAGGACCGGAGAAACGAAATGGAGGTCCGAACGGCTCTCTGTGCTGAGAAGCGTGCTCTGGGCTGATAGGAAGGCACCAGCTTGCGCTGCATCCGTGCCTGAGGACCCAAAGGGACACAGGAGGCTCTGACTTCACTGCTTAGGGTAACCTGAGACTGCCTGAGACTTGATCCACTACGCCCATTTTCGCGACTGCGAGGCTGAGAAGCCTGCCTGGACGACGTCATCGTAGAGGTAGCCGGTCTGAGCACAAGGCAGGGGAAGCGGAGAGGGAAGCTCTGCAATGTGCAAGACCTGCGCACCCTTCAAAGAATAAATCGCGGAATGTGCTGCGGCCTTTGACCTGCACCGTCTGCACAGCACGAGCAACAGCGACCTGCTCAGTATCCACCGGGGATGACAAGCTAAGACCTAAGAGCTGGACCGCAGGCACTCTGCATCTGTGTCAGCATTATGCACATCTGCATCGTCATTTCTACGACGTCAAGGCTCCGAAGCTTCCGTAGATGCACTGACGCATTTCGTGACGTAGGTCGCACGTCCAGGCATGGCCTCAAGATGGTGAGGTTGGGCAAAACCAGCAGGCAGCCGACCTTGACAGTCTTCTCAGAAGCCACGCGCCCTACACATCCCTACTCAACAGCCCTTTCCTGCAACGGCTGTAAAGTCCTTTGGGTCCCCGGCCGCGGAGAGTCCCGGGAGGAAGCCGAAGAACCAAGCCGTCGGATCTGAGCAGCTGGCTGCAAGCGGCTTCGATCATGGACGCTCGGTGGATCGCCCCTCTAGTAGGGAGGGGCGGCCGGGGATTATATCGCAGTTGACGCTGGTGACAGAGACGGAGGTTGTGATAGTATCACTTCTACGGGGGCGCATTTCCATTCCTGCCGGGCCCTTCGCTGCAGGTTGGGTTGACGAACAGCTCGAACATCCGGAAGTTCTCCCTGCAACACTGTACGATTCTGAAAGGCACGAATTTGGTGGCCAGTCTGGAGATGCATTGCCCAAGGCCAGGACATGAAGTACTTTTCCCTGAAGGTGTTGACATCGTCTTCAGAAAAGCTGCCTCAAAGGGCGTCTTACTGGAGTCTTCCTCTTCCAGTGTTCTTCCTTAAGCTTCCGGCATCCTGCCACATCTGACACGAAGAGGATCCTGGGCTCAAAGGGTCTCTCATGCCACGGCTCCGAAAAGACTTTTTTTCGGGTGGTTTCTGGCAGGACCCCGGCGGATCCACCCACACCAGGATGCTGGCAGCCTCCGTGGAGCAAAAATACCGCTAACCCCCCGCAAGCGCAGCAAACGAGGGCCCAACGGAGCGGAGAACCAATCCGAGCAGCAAATGGTCCACCTGGCCAAGCGGCTTGGGCACGCGGGGTGTTTCTTGTATCGGGTCTTCGGCACCGCGCACTCGCGGCGGTTTCAAGAAACTCCCAGCCCGACGGTAACAGTCTTAGGGCAGATGCTCAGCCCTTGACCAGCTGCTCAATTGTTGCAAGAACCCTTATGGCCCTCAATTCGCCAGGCGCACGCATACACGCGCAATCGTCTCGTCGAACATGGGAGGTCGTCGGGAGTGGCGTAGGAACACGTACCAGTCGACCAAATAACCTCGTGAGAGGTAGCTTGGGGCAATTGGGGGTCTCCTTGGCCAACGAGCAACTGCTCAGACTCCTGCAGAAGCTTTCAGAGAAGCAAGCTCAAGAATGCTCAGCCCCCAGCGGGTGAAGCAAGAAGCAGCAGCGAGAACATTCCTGAGGGCATAAGAGGGCTCAACTGGGCGAGCCGTAATCTTACGAAAGGATACGTGCTGATTCATTAAGGTTCTGTGGAAACCATGATCGCGGCAAGCTGGGTCACGAGTCTGTACGAGTCAACACTGAGACATTCTGTGCAAGCCAATACTGCGAATTCCAGGTATATTCTACTCAGTGTAATGAGACCCCAAAGGGACGCGGTCAGCTGCAAACAGCCGGAGGTGAGCTGTGAGCATTGAGCTGCGGACAGCAGCGGTAGCGCCGGGCCGAAGATCATGGCAAGGCTCGCAGTGACCGCAGTCTCTGCCTGCGTTGCACATCCCTCACCACCCTGCCGTCCACCCTGTCTCTCTGGCCGTGTCAAAAAACGATAAGGATCTGACTTCGTGAGTGAAACAGCATGCTGCCATGTGTGATCGTCCGGAATGTTCTCAGGCGCCAGCGAAACCTTCTGCCAGCCGGAACCTCGTTGTGCGTTTCTGACACCACTGCCTTCTGGATATTTTAAGAGCTACGGATCTAAAAACACAAGGCTCGCACCGCGAAGCAAGGAAGAGTAGGAAAGTAGGAAGGCCTTGGCCCTCAGGCCACCGTCCTCCAAAATTGAGCCCCGAGCTCTGGATTCACGTAGAGGTTCTTCAGGTCCTCCTTTTTATTACAGCACGTCTTCACCCTGCACCCTGGAGTCTCTTGCAGACGAGCCTGGCCGATCGTCTTTCGGGCCTGGAGTCGACAGAGGCGATTGATTCTAGGGGGGCCCAGGCTTTGAAAGAGCGCGTCCCTGGCCTTGCGCCAGCGGCTGCAGCGACGGCACCCGATTGCCACCAGGTCGGGCACCTCAAAGCAAGAGCGATGGACGAGAGTGGAAGGGAAGCTTTCTACTGGTAGAAGGGCGCTGACAACTGCGCGTCCCTGCCTGAGGGATCACCACGCGGATGCCCATGACGAGTGTGATGACGCATCCCACCCAACCATGCCATTCCCTGCAGCAAAGCGGCAGGTGTGACATGTGGACCTTCAAGGCCCTTAAGAAAGCGTGAGAGCGTGGCCGCATGGACATTCCACCTGCTCAAGTCTGGCATGGCTCTCCTTCAGCCACATATCCTCACGCAGGCCTACGTCCGTGCCCTCAATCTCCAGGGTTCGAAGGAGCCAACCCCAGAAGGCCTGGGAAAGCTGGTCCATGCCCAGCTTGCAAGAAAGCCCAAGGCCCCTCCGAGCCCCCGTGCTGGGATGGTGCAGCTAACGAAGGCCGGGATCAGGGCAGAGTTCAGCAACCTGGTCGGGTTCTGGCATGGGCTCCTGCCTTGCCACATGTTGACTCTGAGGACCCCGCCAAAACCAGAAAAGGTTCCTAGTAAGAGAGGTCGTCATCTATGCTCGATGCAACAAGCACTCCGACGACCCTGCAGCAACCAGCCTGAAGTGTCGCACGAGCCTCGTAGTCTCATCCTGCAGCACAGCCCCTCCCCCCGTCATCTGCGGCTCTGCACCGTCCGACGCTCGACCTTGTAGCGCACGGAAGTGGAGGTCCCGCGTATAAGCGCCTTGGGCTGCACTGTGGCGCCAACAACAAAATGGCCTGATCAGAGTTGGCCTGCCTCAAAAAGCTCGTTAAAGAGGACGATGATGCCGACACGTATCCAGGACTTGGTCGTCTCATGCTCATCTTCCATGTTTCATGATGGGCTGGAGACGCGACTTGGTTCCCTGCTCGGTGATAGTTGCCCTGCGAGATGCCGATGTACTCTGCGCCTCGCTTGAGCATCTCTCCTGGGAGCCTCCAAATCCGAATTCCCTACTGGGGCACTGGCACATCGTAGCCCGCTTGTCCGTTGCAGCGAGCGCCAAGAACACCTGTCAGCTGCTCCTCTACGTGTGGCCATGCGGACATTGACCACGCAACCTCTGGCTCGAGGTACATGCGCTGCATGCAGTAGCACCTGAGCATAAACGCACCCGTGTACTTTATCTTTGCTTATCGAGAAACAGCTATAGTAAACAATTAGAAACATGCTAGAACATTATGCACCCACACATGCACATTCGCACACAGTGTACACGTGGGTATATTTTGTAGCTCAGCATCTCCTTTCGTTAACAAACCGAGCCCTTCGCTTCACTACTTTGGAAGTGTTGTCCGCATTGTACGCCATCTCTGCCGTCGCCAAGCCTGGAGCAGAATAGACTTAGTGGCGACCTGCTTTCTGCAGCGAAGCCCATTTCCTCTCGCATCCCCGCACAGTTGAGCCCAAGCTGCCAATGATCTCGTGATTCTTCAGGTTGGGCCCCACGGCCTTGGTGTTGCTTTCCAACCGATGCTTTGAGAAACCTGCTCTAAATGCTGGTGTCATGATTCGTAAGCCGTCCGCACAGCGCAGGGCGCCGAAGGAAACCTGGCCATTGGCATTGTCCACCTCCGTCCGCATGAAGGTCCTGCAGGACAAGCAATACCCACCGGAAAACCCAAGGCTGCATCGCGTCCAAGGTCTGGGGTGTAAAGATCAGACCAGACTTCACACATTGAAATCTAGACTCTAGCACACGCCGCTCGCTTCGGCATTCCCCCCCTGAGGCTGCAACGGATTCCCCACGTCGATCTGGGCTCATGATTCAGGGGTCCGGGCACAAGGCGCGAGACGTGCGAGACTACCAGCAGGTGTTGGGGAGCAGTTTCAGGGGCGGACTGGAGTAGCGTTGGTCTTGATTGTCGCCATGTACCTGGTCCAACAAGACTCGCATCCTCGAGACTTTCGAGACGAGATGGCAGGCGACTGCCAGCAGAAGCTGTGCTCGTGGCACACAGTTTGAAGATGGCTTTCGAAGGGGCCTCGAGAAATTGCTACCAGGCCAAGTTGCCTTCATCAGACATAATTTCGACGAGTGGTTCGACGACAACCCCGAGGAGCAGAGGTACGCCGATGATGATGACAATGATCGCGACGATGATGATGATGATGACGACGATGATGGTGATGGTGATAGTGATGGGGATGGGCTGGGGTGATGATGCTGCTGCTGCTGCTGCTGCTGCTGCTGCTGGCGGCCGTGCGGTGGTGGTGGCGGTGGCGGCGGCGGCGGTGGTGCTGCTGGTGCTGGTGCTCGCGCTGGCGAAGCATGGCAAAGCTGACAAGAATAACCGTGATCGTGATAAACTTGCTATGGAAGGACGTACTCATGCTTGTACGTGTGCCAATGTCCCATGCACAAGGGTCCCGGCGAAGGCACGTTGCTGCCGTTTGCCTGCAGATTCAGGTTTCTGCGTCGTCAACAACAAATGGAAACCGTTTTGCGAATCTTCAGGCATAGAGAGGAAGATCCAACTATGTCAGCCCATAAACCTGAGCGACTCAACAGCTTCCGCCATCGTGAACTCGAGGCATGCGAGGAGGTCACGTTCGTGCTGAACCCAAAGACTACAGAAATCCGAAAGGGCATGCACACACTGACAGAAAGAAAGGTGATGACATTATGGCGATACAACATCCAGTTCTGCAGCAGTCTTCCTTTAGGAATAGAATACTTCACGATACGTTACAACTACATCTTGGAGCGAAGTACTGCGAGGGCATACCCTATGGTCAGATGGCAATAAAGGATGCAAGAAGAGAGTCTAGACGTCATGAGAAGTCATAATGACAATTGCTTGAACGACTGCAATCGAACAATCACTCCAAGCTCTCATGGGGCCACTAATCGAAATCTTCTTCGGGAGCCAAGCCCGAAACTCCCCAGACATCCCCAGAACCCCCTCGAAGCCTAGACTCCTAGACTCCAGAAGGCTACATCCCCAAACCCCTGGACCCTGCTTGCCTTGGCCACGTCCAGCACCTGAGGAGTGACTGCCTGCAGCGATCTGGTCTCGACAGCTCTGAGTCTACAACCTGTTTTTGCGCGAGAAGTCCCGTCCCGGTAGCTACAAGGTGAGCGCCCCATAGGGCACCCCACCCCCTCAAAGGTCAGCCCACCCCAAGGTGACGCGTCGATCGCCGAAAGGCGCCCCAGACCCGCAAAAAGGCAGCCTAGGCAAAGCGAATCCCCAAGGTGACGCGTCTGCGGCGTCACGCTTTGAAACATGCGCCAAGACAAAGAAATGCGCTCGTCGCGCAGGGCATTGCCGCAAAAGTCTCTCTCTGTTGAGGCGTCAAACATGTCTGAATTTCCAAGTCGACACCTCGATTTCATCAGCCACAAAGCACAACAAGAAAGAGCCAGTATCCATGTACAACGAATAGGTACTGACCAATCTGATGCCTCCATCAGAAGGTAGATTAGGTCGGTCGTGGAGGGTCATGAGTCTCACCGAGTAACTGTTGCTGCCCGGCCTCTGGTTGCTACTATCCGGCTGCCACTAGCACCACTATCGGAAACTTGGTGTTGGGCAAAAGCCGTAATGTCAGCCGCTGGGTGTCCCTCAATGACATGCAAATAGTCAAAACAGCTTGATAAGTTTTAACCAGGCGAAACAGGTTCTCCAAGCTCGTCAAAACGACGCGATTCATAGGTGACCGTGTCGCATTGCGGCAACATGCCTGAAGGAATGACTAATGTTGCTAGACTGGCATGCAGAACTTGCTACTCTTCTCCGCGTCCGTTGCCATCAACAGGTTGTTTCTTGGTGGGGGTTCGGGCGGGGGTTTAGCTGTGTCTCATGGTGGTATATGGTGGTGACCAACCTTGAGCCTCACCTAACATGAAATCTGACACACACAATGCCCAGGTTGCCGTATGTGCGGTTTCGGGCCCGGCGGATCTCCCTGTGGAACGGGTTGGCTCCGGTTTCATGAGGCTCCCCCGTCTGGCACTTCGCTGTGCCGCCTTGCGTTCGGTTTGGTGCTTGATCCTACGATCAAATTCACGTGCCCTCCATGCACACATACACATGTACGAGCATGTCTGTACATACGTACACTGCTTTGCAACTAGATGCGGACAACAACGTTGGGCTGCAGCTGCCAGGCTATGCTCTCTTTGCCTGCCTCCAGCGAACAAGCCATCAGCTGAACTTCCGGCCTGAGTTCTCAGTCCCAACTGGGACAGAAGCACCGATCCGCAGGGGCTCAATTTTTGATCCCTCTTATCACGACCGACTCGGTGCGCCACGTGACCACGCCGTCCGGCTGCGCCAGCTTCGCGCACTTGATCTGACACCCGAACTCCCGGAAGAACTCTAAGAGAGTTCTAAAAGCATGATTTTCACTCACATGGCCTCTGTGGAGTCGAAGAAGACCTGAGACCCCCAGATCTGGGCAAGGTGAGGGTCAGAGTCTCCCATTTTGAGTATGGTGTCCGCGCCACTGTGGAAGTATCGTTGCCTGTCACCACGGTTGTTGATAGCACTGGTTCGCTCTGCTTCGATGGCACCCTCAATGCTTCTGCATCGATCATCGATCAAGCGGAGAATGCCATAACTTGCGTGGCAATCACCCAGTCTAGCGAAGTTCTGATCTAGGAGACCCACCGCAGCCACCCAGGTCGCATTCTCAGAGGAGTTGCTGTCGTCTGACCTCACGAGGAGGGCCCACACTTCTCAGGTCTGCCAAATCTTGAAATGCAGGGTGCTCCGGGCGTGCGGCTCTGGCAAGGACGGACAGCCTTGTGATGTGGGCAAAGTCAGACTTTCAAACAACGTTCCTGCAGCATCTGCCTTCCTCATCCTCTCCGCCAGGGCAATCCTGAGACTTCTCGGCTAAAGGACAAAACTGCCCTTAAAGGAGAGACGTGAGCCTCTGGACATGTTCAATGGCAAGCTTCTTGCAAACCCAAAGCAACCCCAAACGCAGAACTCGGCGCCTGCACGCCGTCGCATGTTCGCGAGATTGGGACGCACCTTGGGTGCATGGTTACGGCCACCTCCGAGAGCAAGCAAGCCCACTTGAAGAAGTCTGAAACAGCCGGCAAATTGGCCGTCCCGCACACGCTCAGGCACGGGCACAGTGCCTGAGATGTTCATAGGGTCATGCAAGAAGCGGTTGAAGCTGTCATCTCATAACATGTCTCTGACACTTGCATCCAGGCGACTGTTGCAAGGAATGCCTGACTGCCCAAAGCATGGATCATCCCCTGCGACTGTGCCATTTTCGTTGACCTCGCAACACCACAGCTCGAAGCCTCTGAGTCGTGTCAGAGTAGCAGTTCCGGAGTCACATCGTTTAGGGTGCGGACACTTGTATCAGTTGTTGACAGGTTGCCTCAGCTTGGACACAGATAGTGACTCGAAGTGCTGGCGCAGAAGAGAACGGTGAGGCACTTCTACAACTGACATGCGCAAGACTTGTGTGTCTTTGTGTCTGTAGCTGTGGCAGTTCTGGGAGGCATGGCACGACAAATATTGCTGTTGGGGCTGGATCCCATGCGAGCAAGCTGCGCATTTGCACACAGGCCGCCGTTGTGACCTTAGCTCGGGATGTCTCTTTCTGCAGATGTGCTGGAGTGTGGTTGAGGCAATATGGGGAAGGATTCTGTTCTCGCATGGCAAGAGGTGTCG